AAAAGAAATCTGATGAGGTTCAACAAAGACAAGTGCAGAGTCCTGCACTTAGGATGGAAGAATCCCATGCACTGCTACAGACTAGGGACCGAGTGGCTAGGCAGCAGTTCTGCCTAGGGGTTATGGTGGATGAGAAGCTGGATATGAGTCAACAGTGTGCCCTTGTTGCCAATAAGGCTAACGGCATTTTGGGCTTGCATTGCCAGCAGATCGAGGGACATGATCATTCCCCTCTATTCAACATTGGTGAGGCCTCATCTGGAGTACTGTGTCCAGTTTTGGGCCCCACACTACAAGAAGGATGTGGAAAAATTGGAAAGAGTGCAGCGGAGGGCAACAAAAATGATTAGGGGGATGGAGCACATGATTTATGAGGAGAGGCTGAGGGAACTGGGATTGTTTAGTCTGCAGAAGAGAAGAATGAGGGGGTATTTGATAGCTGCTTTCAACTACCTGAAAGGGGGTTCCAAAGAGGATGGTACTAGATGACAGAACAAGGAGTAATGGTCTCAAGTTGCAGTGGGGGAGGTTTAGGTTGGATATTAGGAAAAACTTTGTCACTAGGAGGGTGGTGAAGCACTGGAATGTGTTACCCTAGGAAGTGGTGGAATCTCCTTCCTTAGAGGTTTTTAAGGTCAGGCTTGACAAAGCCCTGGCTGGGATGATTTAGTTGAGGATTGGTCCTGCTTTGAACAGGGGGTTGGACTAGATGACCTCCTGAGGTCCCTTCCAACCCTGATATTTTATGGCCATGGTACCACTGGTGGCCCAGCAGGGAACGCCAATGCCCCTAACGGGTGGCCCTGGCCCTGGCCCGCGGGCAGTATCTCCACCTAACTGTCGGAGCTAGAGGAGGGGATATGTGTCTGGGGACCAGGCCAGTGCCGAGGGCGCCTGTCTACTCCAATCCCATCGGCTCTGGCCCCGAGCCTCTGCTGAGACTCTGTAGGAGGGTGATGTCTCGCAGTGCCACAATCCCGGTGACCAGCGGCAGCTTTCAGTGGATCTGCGACTGTACCTCCACGATCGACGCCTTACATTTTCGCAAGTGGTGCCACTCCATCGAGTGGGAGCATGAGCAGGTTGACTGATGAGTCGGAGATTGTCAATGCGCTCGTGGTGAGCCGTACCAGCGGTCTGGCGCCCGGTGGCGTAGCTCTGGGGACCGGCGTTTCGACCTTGTGGAGTGGTGCCATGCACTGGGTGAGCGGGTCAGGCGCTCCTGGCGTTGGGGCTCTGAGGACTGCTGTTGTACCTCTACAGGTCTGCGCCATCCCACTGGTGATTGCCACCTCAAGCCCGAGGAACACTGCCTGGAGTCCGTGGACTGACGCCAGGGACTCTGGCAGGCCAGACGGCCCGCATCCGCGGGCTGGTGCTATTGCTCAGGTGAGCGTTGACATGGCACCTCCTGTGGCAAGGAGCGGTGTCATACTGATGAGGACCATTGGAAGGGTTCCAAGGCCAGTTTACCCCTCGACTGAGGCATGTCTGTAGCTGGCATGGGCAGCACTGGCAAGGACAGAATGTCTCACACAGCCTGAAAGGCCTCCAGCGTGGATGGCACTGCCAGGTGCCGAGTGCTTCTGCCACTCCCTGGATGGCAGGCGAGTCCTGGAGTGGGCTTGGCCACTCAGCGGGAGTCAGGGACTGACCTCTGTCCGGAGGGGAAGAGCTGCCCCTCTTTGCTCTCCTCCAGCCCTCTCCTTCCCTTTATGGGACGTAGGAGAACGCTCCCTCACGGCTTTTCTTTGTTTTTTAGCTGCTACCGGGGATGGGGATCGGTGCTGGTCTGCGACACACTACACACCGAAGCCACAATGCTAGGAGTAGAGTCTGATTTGCTCGGCTCTGAGGCCGGAGTAAGGGCCGACTCCATAAGGAGCGCTTGGAGACGAATGTCCTGCTCCTTCTTGGTCCACGGTCTGAAACTCTTGCAATTGTGACACTTGTCGCTAAGGTGGGTTTCCCCTAAGCCAGGGGTGGGCAAACTTTTTGGCATCTGGGTGGGGAAATTGTATGCAGGGCTATGAATGTAAGGTTGGGGTGTGGGAGGGAGTGCTTTGTGCAAGAAGGGGTTCAGGACAAGGGGTTGGGGTGCAGAAAGGGTGTGGGATGCAGGAGGGGGCTCAGGGCAGGGGGTTGAGGTGCAAGAGGGGTGGAGCATGGGGCTGAAGTCAGGGGGTTAGTGGGCTCAGGGCAGGGGGTTGGTGTGAGGGGTGCAGCAGGGGTTTGGAGTGCAGGCTCCGGCCCTGCACAGCTTACGTCGAGCAGCACCGGGGTGGCAGCAGTGCACAATGGAGCTAAGGCAGGCTCCCTGCCTGCCCTGGCCCCGCGCCACTCCCAGAAGCGGCCAGCATGTCTGGCAGTGGCTCCTGGGGGTGGGGTAGGGGCAGGCGGCTCTGTTCCCAGCCAATGGGAGCTGCAGGGGGTGGGGGAGAGGGGGGAAAGAGAGTGGTGCCTGCAGGCAAGGGCAGCACACAGAGCCCTCTTCCCCCCCCCCCCGCCCCTCCAGGGGCCACAGGGACATGGTGCCGGCCACTTCCAGTGGCAGTGCAGGGCCAGGGCAGGCAAGGAGCCTGCCTTAGCCCCACTGTGCCATGGGGCTGGCAGTCCCACAGGCTGGATTGAAAGCCTAATGGGCCGGATCTGGCCCGCAGGCCGTAGTTTGTCCTCCCCTGCTCTAAGCACTTCAAGCAGCTTCTATGGGGATCACTGATTGGCATGGGCATCTTGCAACAGTCACAACAAGGTTTGAAGCCTGGGGACAGGGGCATGCCCTGTCCCTAGGCTAAGTCCCACTCAGAACCCACTACTATACTAAAACTAACAATTTTATAACAACTATATACAAAGTTCACAACTGTGCACAGTTGAGAAGAATAGGCTTGCTGAGGCAAGGAGACATTCCACCACCATTACTGGTGGTAAGAATGAACTGAGGGTGGGGGAGGAAGCCGGTAGTGCCCCTTATACTGGTGAATGCGCATGACACTCAAGAGGGTGCCAGAACTGGTCCCCTACGGATACCACTGAGGGAAAAACTTCCGGCACTCGTGAACACACATACCTACAATGGAATGGATATGAGCAAGCACTCGAAGAAGTGGTGCTTCATGGTGCCAAGACTTCAACAACATGCTCCAACTGGGGTCTCATAATAGGCACCAGCCTTGCAAAGTCCTGGACCAGTGGCAAGGACAGAGTGCCGACATCATTGATATCGTTGGTACTGGCATCATTTCCATCACCAACTTACTATTAATTATATACAACTAGGCTAAGATATAAATTTGAGAGATTGTAAAGAAAATCACACAGAGCTCCAACTCCAGTTGACGGGCAGTAAGAAGGAACTGAGGGGGGCCGCCTCATAGAACCACAGGCGGGACTACATGCACAAGTGCTGCCTCTCTACAGGTATTGCTAGGCAAGTCTCCAGCCCAGGTGCACAGATCACACACATCCTACATGGGATACACATCTACTTGAAGAAGAATCATTAGTTACCCACAGTGGAACAGCTTTGAGAGGAGATTGAGGGAGCACTTCAGTTGTAGAGCACTTGCCAAATAGGTGGGAAACCCAGTTCAAACCCTTTCTCCCTGCCTGGCAGAGGGGGGAATTGAACCCAAGTGTCCCATGTCTTAGGCAAGTGCTCTAACTGCTGGGCTATAAGATGGGTAGCCGCCTCCTCCTCCTTCAGCTGTGTTGTGTGAAGTGAAGCAGGTGCTGGACTCATTCCGCAGGAAACACCTTAGGTGCTTAAACCACAAGATGCCAAGTGGCTGGTTCCTGTTTCTGGAACACTAAGCACTGTGAGGCCCCTGCCTGCAGCCTGGAATTAGGCATCATCTCTGAGAGGGGGGCAGGACTTAGCACACAGCTCTCAGCTCAGCATCTCCTATTGGCTACTTTAGGCGGCTCCCCACCTGGCATGCTGGCTTCTGTGACTCACATTCTAAGGTGCCCATTCATTGTATAGGGAACCTAGGAGCCTAACTCAGGCTCTGTGGCTCACTGTGGTGTTCTGTCATTCTCTAGGCACCTAAAAGTTGGGAGCCACGATACTCAGCGCTGCATCATTTAAGTCCCTATATGGATCTGGGTCCTTGTGGAGAAGAGGTGTCTCTAAGCTAGTGGCTATAATTTCAGCCATGTTAATATCTGACTTCAGCCCAGCCATAGTGCAGGGTTTCTATCTGGTTTGGAAAGTAAAGGCTAGTGATGCTATGTTGAAGAGATGGTGAGGTGACCTAATCGATAGGGAGTACGGAGTGGGTCAGTCCAATTCCAATTCTCCCAAATGCTTTTTGTGAGCTACCAGCACACGGAGACCATTCTTGCCCTCCTCTGGCTACCTCACCTATCACAGTCTCTCATTTATTCCTCTCTTCATGAGCTGGGTTTTAGAGGGAAAATTCTAGCATGCACACTGCTCCTTACATTACACCAGTCCAACCAGTCTCAATGTTCCAGGTCCTGTAGCACTTCTGGCTGGATGCTACATTCCCTTGATACCCTGATGATCCTACAGTGGGAGAGGAAAGCCCTCCATTGCAATTACTGCTGATGGTTGAGATAGACAGTACTTGTGGTATGGTGAAAACAGAAGCTGGCAGACAATTCTAGCTGGCAAGTGCCATCTGCAGGCCAATCTATCATTGGTTCTGTACTTATCTGACCCTCATTTCTGGGGTCTGAGCACCTCACAATCCCTTCTGCATTTATCCTCACAACACAGCTGCAAGGCAGGGGAAGTATCCCACAATTTACAGATGGGAAACTAAGGTCCAGAGAGGCTAAGGGATGGGTCTAAGGTCAGAAGTGAGTAAATCCCAGGCCCATGCTTCCTCACACAAAATGCAAAAGTGGAAGTGCAATAGCAATGTCACAGTTTAGAAACCAGTAACTTGCTTGACAGCTCAGTGAAGTGCACAACACACACTAGTACTTCCCCACTCTGTTGGAGATGAAGAGCAGGCTGACCCAGAGGCAGATTGAGTAAACAGGCTTCTTTATTGCAGTACTTGTTCCCCTTGACCCAATTATCAAGTAAGTGGTAAGTTAATCACATCACGCTCTTTTACCTAAGTTAATATGTAACTACCCATTTACTACAACATCCCCAAAACCCTTATTTGATAACATGAATGCCCATATAATGAATATTAATAGCTATATACAGAATATAATTATACCCAGCTGTTTACTGTTTTCAGCATTAAGCATATTATACAGACATTTTTACCTTGAAGATCAATTACTGCAAAGAAATGTTAGACACAAGTTCCCTTAATCAGCAGTTCACAGGTGAGGGAGGAAGGGGACATGACCCCGAGCTCGTTTATGTAGCTGGGGTGTCATTGAATGGACACGAGTAATACATCTCAAAGAACACCAGTTATGGAAAAAGGTAACTAACTGTCTTTTCTTCTTCGAGTGATTGCTCATGTCCATTCAACTTAGGTGACTCCATGCCGTACCCATGGAGGTGGGTAAGGAGTTCACGGACATGTAGATTGCAACACAGCTCTGCCGAACCCAGCATCGTACTTGGCCTGCTGTGTGATGGCATAGTGGGCTGCGAATGTGTGTACCGAGGACCACAGGCTTTACAAATGTCCTGGATCGGAACATCTGCCAGGAAGGCTGCCGAGGATGCCTGCACTCTAGGCGAGTGAGCTCTGACGATCGGCGGTGGGGCCCCTGCCAGCTCATAACAAGCCCTTATGCAAGCAGTAATCCAGTTAGAAATCCTCTGTGTGGACACCAGACGCCCTTCATCTTATCCGCTGTAGAGATGAAAAGTGGAGTTGACCTATGGAAAGGCTTTGTCCGAGCTAGGTAGAAAGCCAGGGCCCTTATTACGTCCAAAGCGTAGAGGCGCCTCTCTTCACTAGTCTCATGGAGCTTAGGGCAGAAGACCGGAAGGAAGATGTTCTGGCACATGTGGAAAGCAACCACCACCTTGCTAAGGAAGGCCAGGTGCCGACATTACTGCCTCCAGAAAAGTTATCTTCCACGATAGGTGAGACAGAGAGCACGAGGCCAAAGGGTGGGCCCATGAGCCTGGACAGAACCAAGTTGACATCCCACAGAGGGACTGGGGACCGAACTTGAGGAAAAAGTCTCTCAAGACCTCTGAGGAACCTAACCATCACATCATGGGAGAAAACCGTCTGCCTTTGGACGGGGAGATGAAAGGCGGATATGGCTGCCAAATGCACCTTGATAGAGGAGTGTGCCAGGTCCTGGTTCCTCAAATGAAGCAGGTAGTCTAAGACTGACTGCACCAAAGAATGCAATGGAGAGATGCCCCATTCGGCCGCCCAGTGGGAAAAACTCATCCACTTTGCCAGGTAGGTCTGTCTGGTCAAGGGTTTTCTACTTCCAAACAGGTCCGTTCTTCAGGATTCAGCCACACAGCATCCACGCTGGAGAGATGCAAGGTTGGGGTGTAAGAGGCAACCATGGTCCTGTGACAGGAGGTCTGGTCGATCCAGCAGGGGTCACAGGGGGACTGCTGCCAAGTTCAATAGCATGCCAAATCAATGTTGATCATGATAACCTGTGCCTTGTCCCTCTTGATTTTTGCTAGGACCTTGCTGATGAGCGGAATCGGGAGGGAACGTATACATCAGGATTCCTGCCCACGGCAGGAGGAAGGCGTCGAAGAGGAAACCCTTGCCCAGACCCCATCTGGAGCAGAACCTGTAGCACCTCCTATTCTGCCTGGTGGCGAACAAATCCACTTGTGAAGTTCCCCACTTCTGGAAGATCATGCCAGCTACCTCTGGGTGGAACACCCCACTCGTGGTGAGAGTCCCCGCTTAGGTGATCTGCTACCATGTTCCTGGCACCCGGCAGGTGACACGCTTCTAGATGGATTCCGTGGTCGATGCAGAAGTCCCAGAGACGGAGTGCCTCTTGGCAGAGGGCCAAGGATCGTGCTCTGCCTTGACTGTTGATGTAGAACATTTAGGCTGAGGACTCTGACCACTCTGCCCAATCGGTGAGGTAGGAAGACCACGCATGCTCTGCACACCACCCTGAGCTCTTTGACATTTATGTGTAGCGTTGACTCCTCTGGAGACCACATACCTTGGGTCTGGAGGCTGCTGAGGTGTGCCCCCAGCCGAGGTCCACTGCACCCAGCTGCAGTCGACCCTCTACCTCCTGTGAGAGAAGACTCTTGTGAGAAGGGTCCCTGAAGAGATAATGGGAGGAGGGGTGGGAAGGGCGGGTAGAAAATATCTGAAGGGTGTAACCCTGCACCACCGTATTGAGGACCCATCGGTCCAATGTTATAGACACCCATGCAGGGAGGAAGGAAGGAAGAAAGGCAGTTGGCAAATAGAGGGGAGGAAGGATCCAGAAAACAGTCCGGTAGGTCGTCCTGGGGCATACCCTCAAAACAGGTGCTTGCCCATCTGCTAACTGCGGGTCAAGCTCGACTGGGATGTAAACAGGGGTTGGTGGCCAGGTCATCTCTTGTAGCCCCTGGATTTTTTTGTGGGGAGGCTCCTGGCGAGGGTGGCTCCCCTGGCTTTGAGACTGCTGTGGATTAAGCCACTTGCAGGAAGGGCAGGGGATGTACAAGCCCAGTGTTTTCAGGGTCATGCAGGAATCTTTCAGGCCATGGAGTTTATTGTCCATCTGTTCTGCAAACAGGGTGTGCCCGTCAAAAGGGAGGTCTTGCATTGACTGCTGAGCACCCAAGGAAAGCCCAGAGAGGAGCAGCCAAGAAACCCTGCCCAACATGACGGCTGATGCCATGGTATGGGCAGCGGTGTCCGCCCAGTCCACCACTGCCTGGAGAGTTGCTCTGGCTGTAGTCAAGCCCTCATCCAGGACTGCCTGGAACTCCTTCCTAGAAGCCTCAGGAAGGGAGCTCTTGAACTTGGTCATGGCCTGCCACATATTAAAATCATAGCGGCCTAGTAGGGCCTGATGGTTGGCCACCCACAACTATAGACCGGAGGACGAATAAACTTTATGCCCAAATAGGTCTAGTCTGAGTCTTTATTCTTAGGGGTAGCCCCCGGTTGACACAGTCTCTCTCTGTGGCTGACTGCCTCTACCACTAGGGAATTGGGAGCAGGGTGGGTATAAAGGTACTCGTGACCCTTGGATGGCATAAAGTACTTGTGCTCCGCTATCTTGGAGATCAGAGGCAAGGAGGAGGGGGCTTGCCAGAGGGCATTTGTAATTTTCGTGACCCCCTCATGTAGAGCCAAAGCTACCCTGGCTGCAGCTACGGGGCAGAGAACATCAGAGAGAGTCTGCGGGCTCCTTTAACTCCTCCGCCTAGAGGCCCAGGTTGGCGGCGACCCTCTAACAGCTCCTGATGTGCCTTAGCATCATCCTGGGGAACCAGTGGAGAGGGCCCCACTATAGCCTCGTCTGGCGACACCGAGGAGGAAGCCGGTACCAAGGGGTCCTCCGCAACCAGAGGTGGTCCAGCAGCTTGCTTGCCCACTTCCTCCTGTGCCTATTCTGCTACTCAATCCACAGCCATTAGGAAAGGCTGGCATAGTCACCAAAGCAGCAAAATAGAAGTTATGGGCAGAGACAGCAGGGGATGGAATCTGGATGTGCTAGCTCACTATTTTACGAGGAAACATTAGGGTGTTTATTCAAACAGAGTAGCAGCCAATAACTATTTTAGAACAGGCTGTCACACAAAGCAGTCACAGAGAGGTACGGGCTGTTAGTACAACTACAGGATGAAGTCCTTCAATCCAGAGAAACTTGTTATTCCTAGGAGAGGCTTGAGGAAAGGTTCATCTGTCCAGAGAATACAGCTCTCTTCAATGCCCTTGTTAAATTTATTAGCTAGAGGGGTTTCTCTGGGTTTCCTTACTTGGCCCGGCGTAGGTGGGAATAGCTCTGGATAGTCCTCTCCACTGCTTCATCCAGGCTCACCACCGGCTTGTAGCCCATGTCCCTTTTGGCCCTCTTGCAACTGTAGTAATGGAATGTCCCAGCTAATGCTACCCGCATGGGGGTGAAGGTAGGTTTGATCGTGATGAGTGGACTCAGCAGCAGCAACACCAGAGACAGTAAGAGGGCTAAGTAATATGCCACCCAATAGGGTATTTGGTATTTGGGTGCATCGTAGTTCAAGCCAGTCAAGATACGGGACATGAATGACCAGAAAGGGACTGGCTCATCGTTTGTGATGTGAAATGCCTGAAAGAAAGAACACAAAAAAAGCCTTGTGATTAAATGTGACAATTTGGACACATTTTTATAAAGTCCTAGTTTTCATTTCATTTTATTGTTGAATAGATTAATACCTGCAGCTTTGCTCTGATGATTCTTAGTATCAGACTTAAAGAAAATTAACTACATTTAATATCAAGAAAGGCCATTTAGGGAGCTACAACTCCCCCCCGTGTTAAGAGAACCCACTGCTCCCAACAAACCAGAAGTGAAAATTCACACCCCTAAGTGGCATAGTTAAGCCAACCTAAGTCCTCATGTAGACAGCTCTAGGTTGAGAGAAGAATTCTTCTCTTGACCTAGCTACCGCCTCTCGGGGAGGTGGATTACCTATGCCGATGGGACCAACCCTCCCATTGGTGTAGACAGTGTCTACGCTGAAGCACTAAAGCTGCGCAGCTGTGCCACTGTAGCATTTTAAGCGTAGACAAGACCTCAGACTATTAGTGACTGTTGCACTGCTTAATTCTTTACCCAAAGATAACCTTGAGACTTTCTGCTGCTTTGGAGTGGGTGTTTTGTAACTGCTATGTTCTACTTTTTAAGTGCTTAGAGCTTTGATTGAGTAGTAAGTTTAAGTCCATCTATCTTTACCCCTTATGGTTGCAAGAAGCTTTTAACAGATGCACAGCCATCTGAATGAATCTGCAGCCAAAAAAAAAAAAGCTAAGAGGTGCGAACTACCTCCATTGGTCTTCAAAGTTAACATCCCATTGAGACCAATATTTCCATGTCAGTATTAACTATTTTATTGCCAATCCTACTAGCAGAAAAATGCAGCTATTTCAGGAGTGTGGGCAGAGCATGGATAGGGTACCACACTCCCTCCACCCCAGCTAAGTCCCGACCATAGGGTGTGGCAGAGCAGTGCATGTTGGGGTGAGGAGATGGCATCTGAGGGAAGTTTACACAGCACTTTTTCATAGTGGGTTTTATTCTAGTTAGTGCAGTCACTTTCCCATGCAATAAAAATTTATCCAAGTCACTGAGAGGAAAGAAGAGCAAAGGGAATAAAATGTGTGTGAACAAAGAAGACACAAAGAAATGGAATCTCTGAGCACACCCAGTTTTGCTATCCATATGCAACGGAGAGAATACCTTACCTTCCCACACAGGGGAGAGTCTTTATGAAGATGCTCTGCAGCTAGTATGTGCCCATGGACCACATTTTCCACAAAAGTAAAGTCTACTAAGTTCTTCCCGTCCCTGCATACACAAAAGGAAAAAGCTTATCTCAACGTACAAGGCAGCTGAAAATCAGCAAGTGGCAAAAGGCAAAGCGACCAACATAGCTGAGCTCTCAGCTATCTCTTCTGCAGATGTCAGAAAAAGGTGCTGCTTCAGGGCTGGAGCAAAAAATGGGGGAAAAATTAGCGGGTGCTCTGCACCCACCAGCAGCCAAGCTCCCCTCTCCTCACCTCCTTCTTCTCCCCCCACCCAGCACACTGTGTCCCCGCTCCGCCCCTTCCCTCCCAGCGCTTTCCACCCCTCCAACCTAACAGCTGTTTGGCGGCACTCAGGACTTTCCAGGAGGGAGGGGGAGGAGTGGGGAGAAGAAGCAGGGCAGGGATGGGGACTTTGGGGAAGGAGGTGGAATGGGGGCGGGGCAGAATGGGGGTGGGGCAAGGGTGGTGCAGGGGCAGGAAGAGGTGGGACAGGGCCGGGGTCGAGCACCCACCGGGCAGAGGGCAAGTCAAGAAGTCTCTAAGGCTTTGTCTACACTCGGACCTTACAGTGGCACAGCTGTACCGCTGCAGCTGCGCCACTGTAAGGTCTCCCATGTAGCTGCTCTATTCCGATGGGAGAGAGCTCTCCCACCAGCATAATTAAACCATCCCCGGTGAGCGGTGGTAGCTATGTTAATGGGAAAGTGGGTTTTTTCACACCCCGATCGATAAAAGTGCTAGTGTAGACAAACCTAAATCACTATTCAGGAGAGCAGAGCAAGCCTGGCACCATCCCAGCTCCTGTCCAAAGCCTTCAAAACCTGCAGTCACATCTAATTGAAATCTGAAGGTTTGGGGACCCACAGAACATCAGTGGAACAATCCATAGAAGCAGAACAAATATGGATATTGTATCTAGCACAAAAGTGGTCATTTAAGGACAAGCTTTCTGCTCAATTATGAATTTGCCTGGCTCATTAAATTTAAATTTCATCCAAATTTGGCCCTGGCCAAAATGAGGGGGATCTTCACCTGCTTACATCAGAGTTGAATTTAACCCACTATGTTCATTAAATCAACAACTGGATTGTCAGATGCACTCTCCCAGCCCCTATCCCTGAACGCAAATTTTTGTGAAACAATTGTCCTGATGATTTATAATTTTCAGTCATTGTGGATTTAATGAGCCATACAAAGACAGAAAAGAAAATATTCTTCACTGGAAGGGAATACATGAGTGTTTCTAGTTCTGCAGAGGCAACAGCTTTCTGATGGAGGAAAGTGGAGACTGTACAAGAAATGTTTCCGTAACATAAGATGGGAAAGCTTAAATTTATTTGGATTAATGATTCATAAAGCAGCTTGAGAGGAGAAGTTTAATTGATGGCAGAGGTGCAAGCTAACACAAAAGCCACACAAGACACCTCTCTCTCAAAATATCAGGGGGTAGCCATGTTAGTCTGTATCCACAAAAATAACAAGGAGTCCGGTGGCACCTTAAAGACTAACAGATTTATTTGGGCATAAGCTTTCGTGGGTAAAAAACATTTGAAGAAGTGGGGTTTTTTACCCACGAAAGCTTATGCCCAATTAAAACTGTTAGTCTTTAGGGTGCCACTGGACTCCTTGTTTTGTCTCTCTAAACATATCTTCCTCACACACCTCTACCCCTCCCAGTATGCAATTAAATCTATCATAAGCTGGATGGGAAATTTATTTTTTAAATCACCATATATGAGTCTAAGAAAAGTCTTAATGGCAGTCAGTGCTATTTCTTGCTCTAAAATTTTAAATTCTACACTACAAGTTGTGACACTTGCAATGAGGAAGCCAAGTTTTTGAACCTTATTATAGTTAACAATATGAATATCAAAATGCAATTTAAGTTTTGAGATCACAATAAGAGAGTTGAAAGCAAGAATTGTATAACACTAGATGAGTTAATGTAACACAATCCATGCTCTGTCAGGTCTTGTTGCATATTATAGATGAACATAACTGGACCATTCTGAATGTGTGACTGGTCAGCTTTGAACTACTGTCCAAACTACTAGGGCTGTGGCATTTGAATGTAACCTCTCTCTGATTTACAGGTCAATCTTTGGTTTGACCAGTAATGTCTCAATCATAATTTAGCCATAATGATCAAGAATCTTCACTATAAGCTAGCATAGAACAACAAACTCTTAAAGATGGTCTATCTGATAAAGGCTCATATGCCACTCATTACTGTTGAGTCTTAGTACCTTCCAGTAGTGCATTAAGCAATATTTGTACATAGTTATATTATATACATTTGTTCTAGATTGTTCATAGATAGCTCAAGTGATGTAGTCTCTTCAAACAGGAGACACACTCATCTCAGTGCCAGTATCCCACAAAACGAAGGCTTCTTCAAAATGAATCCTGGGTCAAAGCAGTGGTGGTATAGCTGGGGAACCCATCATTTCCTGGAATTTTTTTTTATGATTCCTGAGTAGGTTCTGTGTAGAAGCTGATGGACTGTTAAATCACTCATTCTGCCTAGTTCTTGGGCATCTCCAGTCAGGGCCTTTGATTTAACATTGGAGAAGCACCATCCATATCTTTAATACTACAGATTTAATAATACTCTCTTCCAAAAGGGGCATGTCACTTTGGTATCAAATTTCCCATGAGAAAAAGATGTCTGAGCCTCTCTCACCCAATCATGAACTTCATTTTGCCACTCTTAGCTGCCTGAATGAGGATGGGAACCAGCTGGAGGTCCCTGGGACCAAATATCCCATGAGGGCGAATGGCAGTTGTGAAGAAATTATCCTCTGGGTCATTAGCATTTAACACTTCCTGTGGGAGACAAAAAGTTAGTCAAGAAAGACTGGTGAGACCGACAGATGGCTTAGAAATGCATCCCTTGCGTCATCCCATTGAACTGCTTCTCACTAGAAAAATGCTTCCTCTGCATCTTTTGGGGAAACCTCTCTCCAGCATCTATACGAGCTAATGCTCATCTATGCCTTTGGGGAACACCTTTTTCCTCTGGATTGCCTCCTTTTTTCCACTCCTCTTCCTGTCAGGAAGGCAGCAGACAAGGCCGCATCCAGTTTCATTGTCAGACACAACTTCACAGATCGGCCAGCAAAGGAGGTCTCTCAACAAAGAAATCATATCTATAGGTGAACATTGGAACCCTGGAACTTTTAGAACTGCACTGCTCCATCCCATTCCTTGCTTAGGTAGTGGGGAATAGGAGAATCAGAAAGAATTATTTTTCCACCCCAAAATCCTTTAGCTCGTCAATAAACGAAAGATTTCCATCATTAGCTCCCTTAATGCACCTTTTGAGAAAGCATCATCTCACGCCACTGGAAGCACCAACTGATAACATGCAGACTTAGTTTATTTTTATTTCCATTAGGAGTTTCCAAACAACATGTTCTACCATATTCCAGCAGCTGGTGTCTTTCCCAGAAGAAACTCATGTTATGTGTTATGAAGTACTGAGTTGTATGTGCAAATAAATATGATATTTCCACTGCTTTGACAAAAACAAAGGCATAATTATGGGCATATTGGGCTGGATTTGTCCAATCGTGTATTCATAAGCCTCCTACTCTATTAGTTCATCAATCTTCAAAGCAGCTGAGTTTGCAAATGAACGGATGCTCTGATGCGATTTTTGAATAGCAAGTATATAGCTTTTTTTTTAAAAAAGCTAAGTGTTTTTTCAAGGAATGCAAAAAGGCTGTTAAGCCTAATACTTTTTCTTAAGGGGCCACAGTCAACTTAAATTGGTATTCAAATGTAAATTCTACTGAAAACTTTATAAAACTTGAGCTTGTTTCCATCCTTTTTTCTTTTTTTTTTTTTTAATTCCAACTACAAGGATTTGGTTTTGTTTAATTTAAACAGTCCCCTGCCATATTTAACACCCAACTCCTGCAGTACTAAGAACTTGAATGTGAAACAGACTTCAGGGATTTTCAGTGTCCCAAGTGGGAGAAAATGCAAAGTGCAAGAGACAGACAAGATTTTGCTTTCATAATGGAAGATGTTCTCAGCCCCAGAGGCAACAAAATGTGTTTGTACAACATATGATTAAGTTGACAGTGTCCCTTTAACTTTGCCCATCTCAGTTTCACCTTCCTGCTCTTTCCATAGTAATCCTCTGGCACACCTTCTCCACAAAAACACATCTCAAACATATACCCTACTTCAATAGCCTAACTTATGCCACAGGTTTACTTTGCTCTCTTTTCTATTAAGCAAAGGTACTGCTGGTATAAGGGCAGGTTTGACAGCTGTGGAGACAAAGTTCTATATTTATGCAAAGAACAGGAACAGCATGAGCATCTGCTGTGAAAGCATCTTTTCCACTGCTCCATCAGTGTGCCACGATGCTATTTTAAAGGCACCAGGGGAGATTTTCAAAGGTGCATGCAAACCACTATTTCTATTTTTGAAAGTCTCCATCATCTCTACATGAGAGATATTCGTGCATTCTTTATGGCTCATTAATGTCTTTGCCAAGACTGCCAGCAAGGAGACAAAAAAGTTACCCGCCTTTTCGTAACTGTTGTTCTTCGAGATGGTGCTGCTCATATCCATTCCATTCTAGGAGTGTATGCGCCCACGTGCACTGTTGTCGGAGGCTTCTGCCTTAGCAGTATCTGGAGGGCCGGCTGTGGTGCCCCCTTGAGTGTCGCACTCATGCGTCGGTATATCAGGTACCGCCGGCCCTATACCCTCTCAGTTCCTTCTTGCCGGCAACTCCAACAGAGGGGCAGGAGGGCGGGTAATGGAATGGACATGAGCAACACATCTCGAAGAACAGTTACGAAAAGGTGGGTAATCATTTTTCCTTCGAGTGCTTGCTCATGTCTATTCCATTCTAGGCGACTCACAAGCTGTATCCATGGAGATGGATTCGGAGTTCATGGTCGTGCGGCTTGCAGCACTGCTCTACTAAAGCCAGCATCATCTCGAGCTTGTTGGGTAAGCACATAATGAGACATGAATGTGTGAATGGACTACCAGATAGCGGCCCTGCAGATATCTTGAATAGGCACTTGGGTCAGGAAGGCAGCTGCCGAGGCTTGCGCTCTAGTTGAGTGGGCGGTGACAATCGTCGGCGGAGGCAGCTTCGCCCATCATAGCAGAAACAGATGCAGGCAGTGATCCAAAATGAAATCCTCTGGGCGGACACCCGACAACCTTTCATCCTATCTGCCACCTCAATGAACAACTGAGTCAATTTGCGAAACAGTGTGGTCCTTTCTATGTAGAAGGCTAGCACTCTCCTGACCTCCAGGGAGTGCAACCTATGTGCCTCCTCAGACTTCTGAGGCTTTGGAAAGAAGACTGGCAAGAATACGTCTTGGCTCGTGTGAAACTGCAAAACCTCCGTGGCCAGGAAAGCCAGGTGTGGCCGCAGCTGGACCTTGTCCTTGAAGAAGACAGCATACAGCACTTCCAATGTGAGTGCCCTAACCTCGGAAACCCTTCGGGCAGAAGTTATAGCCACCAGGAATGAGGCCTTGCAGGAGAGCAGAAGAGAACAGAACACCAAGGGCTCGAAGGGGGCTTTTGCGAGCTGAGTACCAGATTAAGGTCCGATGAAGGGACAGGATCCCGGACTTGAGAGTAGAGCTGCTCCTGACCTTTTAAGAACCAGACCGTCATGCCAGACGCAAAGACCAATCTGCCCTGGATGGAGAGTGAAAGGCTGATATAGCAGCCAAGTGGACCTTAATGGATGAAAGGGACAACCCCTGGAGCTTAAGATGCACAAGGTAGTCCAGGATCAGCTGCAGCGAGACCTGCTCAGGCCCAATCCGTGAAAACATGAAGCTTTTCCATTAGCCAGATAGGTGGCTCTAGTGGAGGGCTTTCTGCTTCCCAGTAGGACCTGCTGGACTCAAGCCGAGCACTCCTACTTCTCAGTAATCAACCATGGAGCAACTAAGCTGTGAAGTGCAGCAGCCAGCTGTGATTCTGCGACAGGAGATCCAACCAACGGGGCAGTGGCATCGAGTCCAATACTCACAGGTCCACAAGCATACTGAACCAGTGCTGGCGAGGCCAAGCCAGGGTGATCAGGATGACCTTTGCCTTGTCCCGCTTGACCTTCATGAGGACATTGTGGAGCAATAACACCAGCAAGAAAGTGTAAATCAGAGCCTCTGACCACAGGAGTAGAAAGGTGTATAGCAGGAAGTCCCTGTCAATCCCCCGGAACAAGCAGAACAGGTGGCACGTCTGTTCTGGCAAGTTGCAAACAGGTCCACCTGGGGAGACCCCCCACTTCCGGTCGACCACATCAGGATGGAGAGACCATTCGTGGCGAGATGAGAAGTTTCTGCTGATGTGATCCGCCAAAACGTTCCTGGTCCCGGGGAGGTGCGCTGTCACGAGATGAATGGCATGCTACACACAGAAGTCCCAGAGCTGGAAAGCTTCCCAGCAAAGGTCTGATAACCTGGCTCCACCTTGTTTGTTGGTATAAAACATCGTGGCAGTGTTGTCCATCAGGACTTGAACCACCTTGCCTTGTAGCTGGGACCAAAAAGCCTGGGAGACCAGGTGAACCGCCCTGAGCTCCCTGACATTTATGTGGAGGGAGCAGTTGACCCCCGACCAGCAGCCTTCTGTACTGAACCCTCCTAGGTGGGCTCCCTAGCCTACATCTGAGGCATCGGACACCAGAGTCAATGACGGGGACGGGGCCGTGAAGGGAACTCCCTGCAAGACTGATGCAGGGTCCAGTCACCATGCCAGGGATGCCCGAAGGTGATCCGGCACCTCGACTACCGGGTCCAGGTTGTGCCTGTTGGGGATGTAGACTGACACCAACCACACCTGCAGCGGGTGGAGATGGAGCTAGGCATGGTGGACCACATTGGTGCAGGCCGCCATATGACCTAACAACCTTAGGCAGGTGCAGGTGGTGGTGAGCGGATGATCCCTCACATGGGAGATTACATCCGACATGGCTCAGAAGCGGGATTCCAGGAGGAATGCCCTTGACAGCATGGAGTCGAGATCCGCCCAGATGAACTCTATCCATTGCACTAGTACAAGGGTTGACTTCTTTTCGTTCACTAACAGGCCCAAGTTGCGGTGCGTGGCTCGTACCAGATTGAGGCTGGTCTGCACGTGATCCTGTGATCTACCCTTGATGAGCCAATCGTCGAGATAAGGATAGATCCCCTGGGGTCTCTGGTAAGCGGCTACTGGGTCCATGCATTTTGTAAAGACCCATGGGGCAGAGGATAGGCCAAAGAGGAGTGCTGTAAACTGGAAATGGCGCTAGCCCACCACAAAAGGAAGGAACCACTTGTGTACTGGGAAGACAGAGATATGGAAATAAGAGTCTCTCAAGTCAAGCGGAATACCAGTCTCCCAGATATAGGGAGGGAATGATGAATACTTCATTCAAAACTTCAACTTCATGAGGTATTTATTGAGCCATCACAGGTCCAGAATGGGACGTAGGCCCCCTTTTGTCTTTGGGATCAGGAAATAGTGAGAGTAGAATCTTTCCCCCCTCATTTCCTCAGGGACTTCCTCCACCGCTTCCTGTTGCAGTAGGTTGTTTACTTCCTAAACAAGGAGCTGCTCGTGAGACAGGTCCCTGAAGAGGGATGGGAAAGAGGGGGGTTGGGAGGGAGGGGTGACCGAAAAACGGAGGGTGTAGCCTGATGATATGATGTCCAACACCCAATGGTCCGAGGTGACCCTTGACCAGGCCGAACAGAAGGGACGGAGACGGTCGAGGAAAAGGTGGGGCAGACCTGGGGAGGTGACTGTTGCATCACTCTCGAGCGCACTATCAAAACGAGTGCTTC